CATAAGTTTATATTTCGTCTTATTTACGACAAACAAATTTCTTGAATTTTTCAGGTGCCAGTTACATTGTCATGAACTCGTGTTGTCCCAAACTGTAGTTTTAGTCAAGTGGTTATATTAGAGTTTGAGAAATAAAATAAAAACAAACAAAAAATTGCTCTTGATAACGCTTTGATTTCGGGCGTCGCCGCGCCCACGTCTATCAGGGAATGATCTATTTACGATCGAGCGTGATCTATCGGCTATCGTCGAACCGTGGGTGTCGGACATTCGATCCACGTTACTGGATATCTCGCTTCGGTGAGAGGTCATTCTGACTCATTTAAGCCTCCGGTGCGATGTGTTAACGACGTCGGCGCACTGTGCTGGTATAACTGCAATCATAATGCGCGATTATATAAGCATAAACTAAGAGATACGATACCAAAGCGAATTACATCGTTCAGATCGTAACTCGTACTCTGCGAGAACGTAAAACTTCCTTGAGAGATATACTTTACGAGCTACGAAAGTAAAACAACAAGAAAAAGAAAAAGAAGCAAAAAGATTCAAGAGATTTCAAGAGTTTGGACCCCACCAGCGTAATCATTTTTTTTTTTGATATCCAACTATTTGTTGGTCTTCACATTTATTTACTTTTTCTTTTTATGATAAACAGTTTATCCTACGAATATTATTATATAATATAGTAATAATATTATTATTATATTCTATATTTATATAATACTATACTATACTATACTATATACTCTAATATATATAATATACACTATAAGTAAAGTAAGTAAAGTATTATATAAAGTAATTTACATAATATATATTATTATTATATATATTATTATATATATATATTATTTTTATATTGTTATTTTATATATATTATTAATTATTATAAATGATTAATTAATTATGCGCCCCCTGGAAATTAATTGTTTTTTAATTTTAATAGCAATTATAATAGGAAATATATATATATATATATATATGTATTAATGTTTCTACCGCCTCCCTGAATCGCTGCAGTACCCATCAGGGGGCAGTAGCGCCCACTTTGGGAATCACTGATCTAGTATAATCAAACAAAAACAATAATATTGAGAATACACGTCGAACGCGAATATATAAATGGTACTTGGATTAATTTGAAAGAAATGTTATTAATCGTTGAAAGATCAAAGAACATATTCTATATAAAGTGGATGGGAATCAAACCGGCTTCTTAATCGCGTTAATTTGTAAATCATTTGGGGCGTTGTAGAAGTTGTTAAAAAAAAAAAATTAAAAAAAAAAAACAACATGAGGGAAGGTACTATAGAGGCACACCAGGACGGGTTTATACGTCGTCGCAAAACACCCCCTGGGGAGGTAGAGACTTGGTGCTGTGGCGGCGGCTGCGGCGGCGTGATATATCGATCGAAGCTCCGATTGCGTAAGTGCAATTAAAGCGATCTTGTAATAGTCGAGTCGCGTATAATTAATGAACGAAATCTTACTGACGCTCCGAGCGCGTTGTTGTTCTATCTTAGCGCACGATCTTGCCACGGGCATAGGACTGAGTAAGCGTAATTTGCCATATTGTCTCTAATAATTCCAACTAATTAGTTAGCTCTCTTATTTATATGGATCGTTAGGGGATAAGGTAGGTGAAATCAAGACATACGTACAAGTTCAATTTCGAAATGAGAATAAGAGAAAACTTTCGACTTCCGATTGTGTTCTGTCCATCGTGTTCGTACCAAACACGACTATTGCGAGTGAACGGAGTAGTCAAAGAAACTAAATTGAAATGTAAAAGCGGACTAGGAAATAATCAAGGTCTTCTCTCTTCTCTTCTCTTCTCTTCTCTTTTCTGCTGTACTGCTTTGCTCTGCTCTGCTCTGCTCCTTCTTCCTTGGCAAACAGCGCATAAAACCTGGCCGGTCATAAATCCGCGACCTCCGGGCAGCGTGATAGCCAGACTCCATTTTCCTTTCCTTCCCTTTTCTTCCCTCATGCCCTTTTTTCTCTTTCTCTTTTTCTCCCTTGCGAAGTGCCGCCTTCACCAACGTCCTCCACATCGTCTCCGCATCTACGCTTGCTTGCATTTACCCTTGCTCATGCTTGGCTCATGCGCAAAACTAATTCCATCCTCTAATGGATCCAAGAGACTCTCTTTGCTACCGTATTCGCCATGCCTACACGTTATACAGATTTAAAGTGGTTCTACTCGGTTGAACTGACCTTTAGCTTGACTCTCTTCAAGCAAAACGCTAGCTCATGATTGATCCTTCGAACGGTATAAAACAGCCGTTGTTATTGTTTTAAAGGAACATTTCTAACGCCTTGTACCTGGAATTTGTAAATCAAAGTACCCGAGGGCACGTTGACACGTGGTGGTATTGGTAGTGGTAGTGCGTGCGATGCAAATGCGTCTCTCTTTCCTGAACCATTTACGCCCACCGACACAGGATCATAGAACCACAGGAGCATAACAGACTCGCTATTAAGATTTACCCGGTCCACCGTGATCTTTTGACGTAAATTTCCTTTGTGTTTATTGGATTTACTTACGTACGAACGTTTACGATGACCGTGATGTGTAATTAAAGTAACACGACACCTCTCGTTCTGTAATGAAGACGCTTTATAGAGCTTTGAAATGAGATAGAACATGGAAGATGAAGATGAAAAGAGAATGAAAGAGAACGAATATGGTACAGAGAGATTGTCTATCCAACCAGCGACATTTTATACCTTTGTTACCGTCTTAAAGTGATATAAAAACCGCACGCTCTGCACATTTGCATTAAATCCAAGATCTCGTGTTAAAAACGTCACGAATAAATAATAATTTATACGACTGATTTGAAAATGAATCTTCTTATTAGATTAGATATTTGACTATTTATTAATACAATTTAAATATTATTTTTGTACTGTTCAATGGTAATTATATTAAGGTGAACCCCAAGAGTTTATTATGTTGAAAGTTTACTTTGAAAACTGCACAATTAGATTTGTTCTTTGTAAAATTTACTTTATAAATGTTAACACATTTGCGACCATTCGCTGACGTGAATTCACGTTTTTTCAAGTTCTATTCCTGGTTAACCGCTGACGACGGTTCAAGAATCAAAAGTATTTTCATTGGAAAGATTCTAAATTCGTTTAAACTCGTGGTAATGATAGATTAATCGAGGTTGATTCGAAAGGTTGTGGATATATAACGAGGATCGAAAAAGAAGGTACGAAAAAAAATCAAAGAAACATTCGGAGGAGAACACTCTTGTGCAATTTCAGCGAGTCGTTTTCTTCTTCTTCTTCTTCTTCTTGTTTTTTTTTCCTTCCCCTCCACTTGCATGCGACATAACTTTCGAGAAACGACTTCTGCGCTGGCCAGGTCTCTCTACGGTGGACAATCAGATAAGAACGAACGCCCGCACGATCTTACGTAACTGTACGCGCGTTACGTCGTATAAACGAAACTCGCGCGACACAACGAAGGAGGAGGAGGAGTTTTAAAACGCGAGATCACAAAACAAGAGAGAAAGAGAGAGAGAAGAGAGAGAGAGAGAGAAGAGAGCTTCGTTTTCTCGATGAGAAATAAGAAAAAAAAGGGACCGTTTCTCGATGCCATTAGTAAAGGTACTACTACTCCTCCAAAGATCTCTTCGAAAGATCCTACACGAGAAAAGAACTGTCTCTCTCTCTCTCTCTTACCTTTCCTTTATTTTTCTACCTTCTTAATATTTATTTGTTTTATATCCCCTTATCTTTTTCTTACCCCTACCCCCTTTTCATTTCCCTACTATTTTTATTTCCTTTTACGTAAAACCGAGTATCCTCCTCCTCCTCCTATATTGTTATATTGAACAATTAACATTTTTTATTAGAACATCAAAATTAACATCAATTTATTATTATTTTGCCATTATATTCTTTGAATAATAAAAATAATGCCGTGGGCAAAACATTTGATTTCGACGTGGCAGTCAACGGGTTAATATTGGTTTCTGCAATGGTTTTTACCATTATACTCTATTTTATTCATGATTTTATCAACTTTCTCAATAATTAATCGCAATACTATCGCTTATTATTCAATAATCAATACATTCAATTATCCGAGTTAATTTTGAATGCTGAAAATTTAAAAAATTATTTAAAAAAAAAAAAAAAAGACTAAACATTGCAATTTCGTGCAACAATTCAATGATATCACGAGATCTTGAAAGCTTCGGGAATTCGGGTAAACCCGCATCGTTTCTTCTCGACACCATGCATATATTTTACAAGTTTTTTTTTAATTCCCATTTTTTATATTACCCAAAAGCTGTCAAAATGACTACTTTGTGAAGGAATAACTAATGTGTAAAGAAATTTATTTAATAAAAAATTAATTTTTAATATTTTTTTATATTATTTACAATTACAATTTAATTTAACAAACACAATTCTAAAAAAATTGTATCATTATATAAATCATTCTTTTTCTAATTGAAACTAAAAAGTAGTCAAAATGACTTCCTTGGGCAATCTAGTGTTGATAGCAATTATTTATGAAACTGGTGATGATAAAAAGGAAACGATCGATATAATACCAACAGATAGTATAAGTAAGCATGAGAAATACCATCGACTGGCATTAAAGTGATTATCCTAAGCATGCAACATGATGTACATATTTAACCATTTGCGAAAAATGACGAATAGAAATATCACATAAATTTGAATTTCCTTAGCAGTAATAATATTTTAGTTTGCTATTGTAATTAAAAACAATCAACGCGTTTCTTATTTTTTTTATATTAATTTTTAATCCATGTTATTTCAGAGTGCTAGTAATGTGTTTCATTATAAATATTCAACATAAGTCTAATGTATAAAATGAATGTTCTACTTTATAAATTGAAACCGTAGAGATTATTTATCACTTATATATAAAAAGTGCCATGTAAATCGAAGAACGAATGTATTTAATATCTATATACCTACTCGTCTTTTTAACAGATCTTAAAAAAAAGATTTCTTAACATTGGTCAACATAGTTTTTCCCATTTGACCAACTTTCCTCCGTACTTTAAATAATTGTCGCATTACTACGAGGTAAGAAGTTTCTATCAGCTAAAGTGATATTTATTACATACGTGAAAATCTCTCATATGAATATTGAAATGCACATAAGAGAGTCGAGTTTTTTTTTTTTTAATATATTATAAATATACTTACTGTGTACAGTACACAAGGACGTTTTTTTTTTTTTTTAAATTATTATATAATGATAAACTATACTTAAAATTGAAGCACATCCCTTAGCATATCTCTAAACAAGGAACTAATTGCTAATGAAAACATCGCATATTTAGTGATTGATAATACTACTATCCACAATGACAAGCATAATGTGGAATGTGAAAGTATGACGAACACTTTAACAATAAATTTTTTTCTTATATTTATTTTTATGTTTATTATTCTTTATTTGGTTTTCTTCGCCTTGGACCATCTTCACCACTAGATTTATCCTATAGGAGAAATCAAATATTATTAATTATGAATGTATCTATTTAGAATTTCATTAAGCTGTTTCTTTTTTCTTTTTTGTAAATAAATAAAATAAACATATATAGATTATTTAAATAAAATTGAAACTATATATATACTCTTAACATGAGGATAATATTAGAAGGGACCTGAAAGAAATAGGATACGAAGACCGCGAATGGAAGGATCGCGCTCAGGGACAGGAACAATGGCCCCGGGATTTGATATTTGTGGCAATGAACTTTCCAATTCCTAATGCTAGTTAATAATAATACTTTTACCATTTTAGATTCAATGATCTCCTCTGTTTCACTTGTATTTTCAATTTCTTTGTTTTCTTCTATAGCTGCCTCTTGCTGAGTTTCTCCTTCTTCTTCTTCTTCTTCTTCATTATTTAGTAATTCTTTATTAATATCTAAAGTTTCCTTTTCCTCTTCTTTACCATCATTTTTTTCCTACAAATAATATAGCAAAGATTATTTGTAATATAAATATATATATTTCGAATTTAACACATAATAGTTTAATAATATTATAATATACAAAACTATTTATATTAGAATAGCACTACTGGTGCAATTGATAGCACGAAAACACGTACTTTACAAGCAATAATTTGAACTAGCTTAAATAATTTTTAAAAATATAAGTCAAATGTAGTTTAACTTTAATTTATAATCTGAACACATACCATATGTGAATACTGTGATATATTGCAATATTAATTATTAAAAATTTATCAAGAGAAATAGAGTAAGAAAATATCAAATTTATCAACAACAACAACAACAACAAAATATGTTTTATACCTGACTACCAGAACAGCAACAATAAAGTAATAGAAGTACAGGTAGGCCTGCACCTAGTATATATACAGCCCACATCCAAGGATGTTCTGTAGTAAATGTTGCTATTTGACGCCACATAGTCCACTATAAATAACCAGCAATAACATACTGCAAATTAATTGTGCGAATACATTTACAAATTTAACTGTATGAATGTAATAAAAAAAAAAAAAAACACCAATATTACGTGATCATGTATGATATACATTATAAATTGTAATGAGAAATAGTTAAATTACTGTACAAATTGTTCAAATGATCTATAATAATATATAAAATATACATTTTCTTTTTTTCTTTTTTTCTTGTTTACACAATAACTACTTACAGCTTATTAAAGCCATCAACAAATCAAAAGCATTATAAAAGATACATAATAATGATAATCCTATTATTTTGCTCAAACTTTGAAAAAATTATGGTCTCATAAGTTACTACAAAAAATTGAATACATTATATAAGCAGAGATTTTAAATTTCGTGAATGAATGAAGTACCTCGCGTGAACGTTTTATTAAATACCAAACATATATTGTGATTGGTACCATACAGTAACAAAAATAAAGGGCCCACCAGCCAGGTTTGTAGTTCATGGAACGCATCATACGTCCCCAAAATGTTTCCTTTATGTTATAATGTGCGTATTTCAAATATAACAGAAAGATTATAAAGTTTCAGTTTTGACATAAGAAAAACAATAAATAAAATGTATAAAATATTATTACCAATAGCTATTGTTATATAAGAAAAAAAAATGCAAGAATAGCTAATTAATATGGATTTTACCTATTATTTCAAATAAAATGTAAAAATGAATTTTTATATGTAGAAATATTTAAAAATGTTGATAATAAAACTACTTACACTTTCTTCAGCAATTTTAACTCGTCTCACTTCAAATGTTTCATCGGACCATTTTCTTGCAACTTCTTCGTCATCGGTAATAAGAATATTGTCAAAAATAATATCAGAAGACATGGACCACAGTTCAAATCCAATAGCATACTGTAATTTTTAGTTGAATTATAAAACTGATTTTAATTGAACATAATTTGTTTCTAATATTTTATCTTCAAAACTTACAATTGATGACATTAAGAATGGATGTTCGTCATTAAAATAATCAGGATTATGAATTAATTTAGGTTTCCATTTTCCACTGTAATTAGGATTATTAATCAATGGGGGTAACCATTTTCCTTTATAACGTGGATTCTTCTTCATTTTCTGCTTGTAAGGACCACAACCTGGAGCATCTGCGCATTTAGGATTTGGTATTTCTGGAGGTGCCCATTCTCCATCCATATCAACGTCCCAATCTTCAGGCTTAACAGAATCAGTATTTGGTATCATAGGTGGCTCATCTTCCAACCAACCTTCTGGCATAACATCTTCTTCATCCACTATTTGAGCTGGAGCATCTTCATCCCAATCATCAGGTTTAACTGCTGACGGATCAGAGATTTTTTCTCTATCGTCCCAATCATCGGGTTGTTTATCATTTGGATCTTCTATTTCTAAAGGTGGATTTACAGGAGGAATAAAATCGTCTAATAACGATCCTGTATTTACAATCTTATTGTCAACTTTGATTTCAAAAGTGTTATTAGGACGAACTATTAAAGTATATAAATGTGGTTGTTTATCTTTAAAGAAATCTTCCAATCTCTCCTTTGGCTTCTTACTATGTTTCTCTTCTACTATACCATTTAAAGGATTTTTATGGCAGAAAATAAAATGTAGCTATATTAAGAGAAAAAAGTTATATAAATTAATTCATAGAAACAAAGAAATCTTATATGTGTGTGTATATTTTATAATATCTTTATATACCTTATGATCATTCCCACACTTATCTGGTCCAAACATAATAGTATATGGAGTTTTATCATGAAAGTTTTTTAAATTTGATTCCTTATTTTTAGGATCAAGCGTTAATAATTTAAGGTATGCGCCACCACATTCTTGACCGTCTTGAAAATTAACCTCATATTGTACAATTAATGGTTTATCATTGAAATGAAAAGGAGTACTTAATAAAGTAGAAATAGCTGCATGTCTAGCTTTGCTTTTCAATACTAAACCTAAGTCACCATCTTGTATAGGTCTTTTAGGCTCTTCGATAGTCCAGATTCCTATAAAAAAAAAAAAAAAAAACAATTCTTTTTATATTTCACTTAACTTTTAATGATCATTTTTCATTGAAATGTTTCAATATATGAATAAAAATAATAATAAATAGTAATGGTAATACGAACCATCATATTTGGCTATATCTTCATCGATATGATCTTTTTTAGCTTCTGATAATACCCAGGTAGTATCAAATCTTTCCTTATTGTCAAAATGTTCTGCTAAGTAAACAAATCCAGATGGCTTTGGACTTTGGTACGTTGATCTTGTATTTGTATCTTTAATATCATTATCATGTTGTTCATTAGCATTTAATATATTACAAATTAAACTTAAATAAATTAATAATGCACACGCTACGATTTTTGCCATCTCATATTCCTGAAATATAAAGACAAAGTTCAATTCAAATGAAATTTCTTATAAATCTAATATTTGTTTATAAATCTGTTATTTCAATTGACAGAGAAAACATGGTAAAACTTTAAATAATCAATTCATGTAAGTCATATTGTAAAAAATCATTCTGATAAATTATATAATGAAGATTTAAGTTTGTTAAAAAAAAAATATATCAATTTTGTTGATAAATTGATATATGATTATCTTAAACAAAACCTTGCTAATTTTGAATTAAATACTTTCATTGATAATATGATATAATTTAATAATTGCTAATTGATAAATGAAATATATTCTGAACAAAAAAAAATGTATGTTTGAGGAAAAAAAAATCATAAAAATAATAAATTATATATTAATAATTAATTATTTATCTAAATATTTTCATTAATATTACTTACACGTGAAACACCGTATACTAAATCTTATTAATATCACTGTTAAAATGTATTTTATTTAATTCTTAATGAATAAGTTTAATATACGCTTTGACAAAGATAGAAATTGTATTATTTAATTAAGCAGCAATGTTAATCTATACGTGGGGCTTTTTACTTTGACGTGTACTAAAAACGAATTCCACTACCGGAAATGATTAATGGAAAATAAGGGAGTGCCATGTTTAATCAATACATTTCTTTGATAAGTAAATAATTTTAATAGAAAAAAAATCCTAAAATTTATAATAAAAAAGATAACGGACTCACCTGAATACGTATTTTAATTTTTAATAATTGTTTATTACACCGTAACGTCACTTACAAAATATCATGCTCAATATCCATGTATATAGATATATAATACGTATATATAACTATACATATATACCAGTGCTGCCAATCTTATACTTGAAATATTCCTTGATAATTGATTCAAAAAATCCCGCTTTTTGGGGAAGATAACTAACTATTGGTTATGTTGGGTACACTTATTCAATATGGCGGGAAACTTTGAATTTATATATTTATATCAATGAAAATATATATAACTTTCTTTATCTTTCTTTGGACCATTTTAAAACTTTAATATTTTGTTTTAAATTGTAGAATAAAGATGAATTTGATAAATTTGTTCAATTCAAAATAAATACAATTAAAATTTTAGCACATATTGTACTTTAATATTAATCAGTACATGAAAATACGCCATACGATAAAAAAGGAAGAAGTGGGGTTATATTATGCATGTGTGGGGTACGTATGCATATACACTCACTTTACCATGTTGGCATCATTCCGCGCTACAACGAAAATTTGAAAGTTGTCCGTTGGATGTGTAGTAAATTGTCAAGAAAATAAAACATTGTTATCGTCGTAAAAGTGTAAAAATCGTAAAAAAAAAAAATGCAGAACAATTCGACTAAACGCAGATCATCTTCAAATCCCATAAGAATTTCTAGTATAGATAAAGTGGATAAGAGTTTAATTAAAAATGATACAAGAAAAACGTTTTCAGTAAAGACGAAAACTTCTTTTTCTACTTCTGACGTATCTCATATTCCCAGACCTCGTATGAGAAGTTCTTCTTGTGATTCAGAGAAAAATAGACTTTCCACCTTAAAAAATACTGGTAAAATGTTATGATATTAATATATAAATTATATATAATATATATGTAGGGATTTGATATTTCTACTCCAGAAATACCAAAGGTATTTGTATATTTATTTTATATTTCATATGGGTGAACATAGAAATGAGTATAAATTAATATATTTACTTTAATTGAAATTAATATATATACATGTATCTAAATTTATATAAGACCTAGTAAATAATACTTTATTAAGTAATAGATATTTATCAAATATTTGTTGTTAATTACACAGGCAAAAGCATGCTTCATCTGCCAACGACTCCAGCCACACCATCAAACAGCAATGTCCGTAAGCATAATATGATGAGTTTGTCAACTGGTCGAAGAACGCCATCAAAAGATCGAGCAAGTAACATCGGTGCTAAAGGAGCTCGTAAAGATACACGAACTTTGCTAGATAGAAATTATCAAGCTCAAATGCTACATAAAATAGACAGTTATATTCACGAAATTCAATGTTCTTCTATGTTAAACAGTAATGGCAGTTTGAAACCTATTACATTGAAAATGTTTGTTGAAGTATCTGATTTATTGGTAAAACTTATAGATCCTAAGCAAACTTTAACTCTTGCCAATTATATAGAACAATTACCCAAAACTGCTAAGAAATTGCATTATCCTGGAATGATTTCCAAATCGTTGTTAAAAACAGCAAATACTCCTCATTCTTGGCCTTATGTTTTGGGCTGGTTATGTTGGTTGGTCGAAGTTTGTCAAATTAAAGATTTGGCATATAATAGCTTTCAATTAGATAATTTGCCATTTATAGGTACGGAGCAACAAATGAAAGATAATAGAAATTCTTTCTTTTTTATGCTAAAAATCTATGCTGCTTGGAATAATGAAAACCTTGATGAAGAAGCAACTCTTGTCAATGAATATTTGCAAGATATTGAAAAACAGTATGGAGTTACTGAAAATGATTTAACAGAAGCATACGCTGCTCTAGATAAAGAAGAACTCAGCTTACAAGAGACTGAACGACAATTAAAAGATATTGATACAGATGTTCAAAACTTAAAGGATGTTTTAATGTCTCTTGAAAAAGATGCAGCTAAACAGTCTAATGATATAAAAGCACAAGAAGAGTACATTAAGAATCTTAATATAGAAAAAGAACAATTTCAGATTCAAAATAAACGTTTCTATGAAAAAATTCAAATACAAAACAAGCAATATAAAGAATTACTTTCAGTAATAAAAGAACAACCAATGTCTAAAAGAGAAAAAGAAGACATACTTAATAAATGTTTGGAACTTAAAACTTATATACAACAATTTGATGAACATTTGAAAGATATGCAAAAAGACATATATAAATTGGATATTAAAATAGCATCTGTAAATAGCAATTTAAACAAAATAGTTTTAAATTACAATCAAGAAATATTTAAACATTTTGGTAGTGATACTAATATAGATGTCGAAGAACTTAAAATGCCAGAAAAAGATATGCTAGATCCGAATATTATGGATAATTTAAATAGTAAAGCTAATTTGATGAATGAATTAAAAGATGGATGGATTAAAAATTTAACTAAATTGGAATCTTATATAGAAGCTGATACAAATAAATTAGAACTTTTGCAGAGACAAATGAAAACTTTAGAGGAAGAAAATGTAATTTTACATAATAAATTAAAAGATAAAAAAGCTCATATCAATGATTGGAAAAATGAGGAGAACACATTACGAGAACAAATACAGATATTGCAAAATGAAATACAAAGTTATAAGGAGATGACTCCTAATTTACAAGGTGTTACGAGTGAATTAGAAGAGTTAAAAGAAAAATTAGATGCTGTAAGGAGAAGAAAATTGTACATTGAACAAAATGGGAAAAGATTTTTTGAAAAATTATATGAAACTTTGGGTGAACATAGAAATGAGTTGCATAAAATTTTAAAAAAAGATTAACACTGGTCATCATGATACATTATTAAAATATTATCTTTTTGTATATATATAATAACTCATGAAAGTATTTGAACACTTACCTTGAAATATTTTATTAATAATAATATAAGTATATATTACATTATACTTACAGAAATATTATTTATACTGTATAAATTCTGATTTATGACTGACAAATAGCTTTGTTTTCATTGATTCTTGTATCGTATTTCTCTGTGTTTAAATACTTTTGTGATTTCAGCAATCTATAATTTTGTAAGAAATAATTCATAATTATTGTATATATATATTTCGATTTACTCGAAACATTACTTATATAATCTAAAAAGAGTCATATCTACTTATAATGTAAATAATATTTTTGCAAGTATTATATGATATTGTATAATATTGTATAATATATTGTTTAAAATTTTAAAGCGTTGTAGCTGTGTCTCTTTTTGCCTTACTTTCTTTCTCTTTCTCTTTTCAAATTCTGAAAATTTTGGCGCTCGCTGGCACGTTGCAACACAAACGCCATCTGTAGGTTACACCAAAGAAACATATAGTAAATCGAATAACGCGTGCTTTTCCCTGCTTCCTATTATACATTTCGAAACTAGTTCCACCAAACTAAGATATTACATATCAATAAAAATTTATATAAAAATGACATATGTGAATAAGATTTAACGTTTTAAAAATCTAATTTTATTAATTTTTAATATTCTACGATATAAATCGATTTTACAACTATTAATAGGTTATCCCTAGTTTGTAATTATTTTATGTTGGTAGCGTAATAATAAATATAGATAGAAAATTTATGCAAACGTATACGATCGGATAACTTTGACAATAAAAATATAAATAAGATTTTATATATGTCAAATCGGAGAAATTGAAATAAATAAGCATACGTGCATTTGTTGAATTTTATATAAATGGTCGATAAGTCTCAATTTGATGAAAAATCGAATTTTCGTATATATGACAACTTTTGAAGAATTATGTACATAATATTAATATTATAATAATATAACTAACAGATATATATATATACTTATTATACGGTACGTGTTTAAATTAAATAAATTAATATTTATAATGAAATATGTAAATGTTTTTCAAACAACTTTGAGGTTATGATCTTTTATATTAATGTGAAGTAATATGTGTGTGTGTATATATATAGATTTTAAATTATTATAAGAAGCTTTTAATATAAAAATAATATATGTGATCATATCCTACAATTGCATAATGTGACAATAATGAATTTAAAAAGTTCATATTTTTTTAGTTAAGTATAGCAATGATTTATAAGCCATTGCAAGCCAACGAGATTAACTTTACTTTTAGAATGTTTACAAATGTTAATGTAGAAATACTTAATTGATGCTAAACATTCATTTCATATTTAAAATAAATTTCTTTTTTTAATAATAAGCTTAACACCATTAAATAACGTATTGGTGTATGACTGTTGAACAATAAATGATATTTTTTATTATATTGAGCTAATCAATTTGGCAAATGAACAATTAATACATAAATTCAATTAATATTTTTTATTTTTATCACATAGAAGTACTTTTGTTTTATTAAAATTGTTTCTCTTTTTGTTTTTTTTTTAGTATAATGAGCAATAAAATTGAAGAGACATGTAAGACTTTGGATCAATGTAATGGATATTCTTCGGATAACATTCAGAACCCTTCAGATAACCAGGTATTACGGATTGTTTTATTTTAATGTAAATATGATGAAATTTAACAAAATGTGAATCTTTTTGTTTCTATAGCATATATTTCAAAATGCATTCCCTAGCAAACTTGTATTAGATAATTATAACACGATATTAGAAGTAAAAATAAAAAAAAAAACTTCTAAACCAGCTGAAAAAATGGTCAGTAGTACATATAACCGTGAACAAAATACCGAAGAAAGACAAAGATCTAACGGAGAGCATCGTCAAAATTGGTTGCAAGATTTACAGGAACATACTCGACCTTATTTAAAGAAAAATTTGCAAAATTTATCTTCCAAAAATCAACATACGAAAAAAATATCTTCCTCTGAATGTAAAGACAATAAAAAACTTTCGACTCCTCAACAAAAATTAAGATATAAAAGTAATGTAAGTAAAGATATAACAAGAGAATAATGAAAATATTACAAACGTCGTTGATAATAACTTTTTTGTTTATTTAATTATTCAAATTTAAAGAACCAACAATTTCTATCGTTATAGAGTTTTAATAAACAGTTGGATGAAGTACCAGTTAAACAGGTTCCTTTGCAAAAAATATCAAAAGAACATGTGAAAAAATCTCAACAAACGGGATTTTCATCAAGCAGCGCGTCTACAAAATGTATAAAATGTACTAAATCGGTTCTCGTTATTGACGAAGAAGTTCAATGTGGTGGAATATTTGATTCCTCGTATGATAAATATAATAGTCTTAATCCTGTTCGAACATTGGGATTTTTAATGAAAGAATTAGAACGTTTAATAAAAGATGAGGAATCCAGCATAATTCTCACGAAAATGGAACAAATGTTAATTCGTATACCAATAGAATTTACAAAGTCAACAACAACAACGGTACGTTAATGAAAATACAAATGTTAACCCTTTAACATTCTTTGATATCGACACTTTGAACAATGTAGGTATCTTGCATCATATAGCATAATAATTGTGTGCAACATGCAAGTTGATGTATAAATTTCTGTAATAGGATTTACATGTATTAACTCCTCATACAATACTTGATGAAAAGACTGTGGAAATAGAGAAAATGTGTAAACAAGTGAATACCGTATGTGGATCTTTACGCGAAGAACGAAATGCTTTAAAACGGTATATAGATATATTATTTTTATTGAATAACCTTATACAATGTTCCCTAATTTTATATTATTTTAGGGATGTTGAGAAACATTCTAAGCTTCTAGAAGAAGCACAGCGCAAACAATTAGACTCTGATTCTACTATATCAAAATTAAAAGAACAATTAAACGAAGCATTGAAGACAATAGAAAGTAAAGATGAAGTAATATCAGAATTACAAACAAAATTAACAGAATTAAGAACAGATTTGAATAAACAAATAGAGCTTACACGACAGAGTCATTTAGAATTACAAAATGTAATGCTGGAAAGGGACAAATTGTCGGTTATAAATTCTCATAAAGACTCACAATTTAACGAATATCATCATAATGTCATGAAGTTAGTATTATAGATAATAAATATATTATTATAATTGAAGAAATAAAACTTGTTAAATGTAATTAATATTTAATTTATGATTTTTAGGGAATTCCAAAATGAAATAAAAGATTGGTTAGATTTGTTTAAAGAAGCTATTATCAAAGAAAAAAATGCAAACTTACATGGTTCATTAGTACAACATGGATTTTCTTGTTCTTCACCTTCTCCAACATCTTCCGATCGATCTAATATTCCTACATCCTGGAATGGTTCATTGGAAGTGTCTGTATCTTTAATAGATGATAAGAAAAAAAAGGCAACATCTAAAAAGGGCAACTTATTAATTCCATCTTACAGTAGAATAACAGAACAAGATACGGCAGAAACTATAATGGAAGAGATTAATGAATCAAAGAATAATAGGGACTCTTCACAATTAGAATTTATTAGTTTACCTCCTGGGGAATCAACTTCATTTCGATCTTATAAAGATCAAGAATGTTTAGATGAAAGTGGTATCAATAAAGATAAAGATTATTTGTTTCCGTCCAAATCTAAATTATCTGATTGTGTTCAACAATTTGTTGATGCTGATTCTACAAAATCTAGTGTTCCGTGTATTAATGAAAATGACAATGAAAACAAAACATATAAAAAACATTTGTCCAAAATTCGAAAAACATTACAATTCGATAATAAGAACAAAAATCATGATAATGAAAGTATAGAAGATAGTTGTACATTTAGAGAAACTAACGTATCAGGTGATATAATAACTTCCAATATAAGTGAACGATTTGAAGCTATGTTCGATGAAGTTCGACGTAAGCCTAGAATTTCTGTCAATGTACCAAGTCCACCACGAAATTATCCTCATCCGGATTGGACCGATAGTACTTTACCTAGTAGTGTTAGTGTCGATTCCGAATTAAATATTGATCAGCCTAATATTATTTGATCTTGTATTTTTATATTTTGTCTCTATTTTATATATATATATATACCTCTTTATATTTTTATATCAAAACTAAACTGAACTAATATTTCTTATTTATAACATTTTCATCTCTGAAATGAGAATATACCCCCCTATAAGGTTGTGTAGATATATATATATATAATATGATATATGATAATGAAAAATAAATATTAGAGAGATAAATATACATATATAAATATATATAAGTATTTTAAAGAAATACTTTTTAATAAATGAACATTCGACATTTAATTTTATTTAATATGAATTATCATAAATCAAAGCATTATATTCCGTTTGAGTTAACTTTCAAGACTCATTATTATCCATTGCAGAGATTTATTATATTGAAAAGAAAGATATAATAAAAATAGAAACATAACGTGTTATATGGTAATAACTGAAAAAAAAAAAAAAAAGAAACAAACATTTAATGAATTAATTCTTTTGATTGTGTTTAAATTTTATTACATCAAACTTTATTTTTTAATATATGATATATCAAAAAGAGAATCGTGTGTGTAAGTTTAAAATTGTACATGTAATTATTTTTTTTTTATTTTGTTTTTTTGTTTTGTTTCGTTTCGATTGAAAATTTATTTTATAAATATATATTTTCACGTGGTTTTATATTTAATATATCCTGCGATTTATCTAAGTATAGCGAAAAATTTTCTTGAGAAAAATCTTCTTTTTGTGCAAATTACAAAATAATAAAGACAGCTTTATATTGCTCGACAAATGTTATATACGATACGATCAGTGAGATAGGTCCACTTTATTTATTATTATATTATTCCAAAATTTGAATAGATCAATCGAGAAATATAAATTTTCGTTTTTTTCTTTTTCTACTTTTTTTTTTTCTTTTTTTGTTTAATAGAACCAATTTATATTCGTTTTAATATTTTAAAGTTTTTTTTTCGAGATTAATTAGATAAATGTAATCGGAACTATATTTAAAAAAAAAAAAAAATGGTAATACTTTTGGTCGAGACTAAACGATAAATAAATTCGTTTAACTCGACGCTCAATCGATTGTCATTGATGAAAATAATTTGTTGTTGTTGTTGTTGTTATTATAATGAAATATATATAATGTATTATTATTATTATTAGATCTTGTTTAAAAAGTCTAACGCTATGCGGAATTAAGGTAACAAATATAAGTTTGACATGAAAAACCAGGTGTATATATATATATATTTTTTATCACATATGTATATATACAAGTAAAGTATAATACTTATATATAATATTTTGTAAGTCTTAATAGGATTAAAAGGGAACATTTTTAGTACAAGTAAAACATTCATCGATTTTGAGCGAAGACGTCTTTAAATACATACGCGTTTTTCCAATAAGCGTGTTAAAAAAGTACACATGTGTCCTGTGTGTGTGTTTGTGTACCAATTTTTTTTTTTTTTTTTATACAACGAAACTGGATCTTCATGATTTCCACTGATCGAAGAAGAAGAAGAAGAAGTAGAAGTAGAAGAAGTAGAAGAAGCAGAAGAAGAAGAAGAAGAAGATGTAAACGTTCGACTTTTTTTTTGTTGTTGTTTTTTTTTTTCACACAAATCGCATATTATGAAACAAAATTACGGTAAAAACGAATTAACGAATGAAAATGGTTGGTATCAATACGAAATGGAAGGAGACTGTCTTCGCATTTTCTTAGTTTCGATAAAAATGCGATAAAACGCGAAATATATTGTATATTCGTTTAAAACCATTATTTATACACATTCCCCGTTTCACGATGGAATCTTCCTCGATGAATATTCACGCATTATATATATATATATATATATACGTATATATATATGTAAGTATATACACAAACATATACATACATGCATACATATACGATATTTTCTTCATCTTTCCTTTCTAATCTTTTTTTTTTCTTTCTTTATTTATTTATTTATTATTTTTTTTCTTCTTCCTTTTTTTTTTATTTTTAAATCTATCGTCAAAATTTTATATTTTGCCCGTTTGTTTTGTGTGTAATCCTTCGACATTTATCTTTTTTCTTTTTTCTTTTTTTTCTTTTTTCTTCTTTTCGCTCGACAATTCGTTGTGATTCGTGTTGATTTTCGTTAAAAATTTTTACGTTTGAAAAATTTCAATAGGCCATCGATTAAATTAAATGCTGATTATGAAAGATTCTCGAAGAGTCGAAGAAAATTCCTACGTATTTTGGTTTTAAGTTCATTTTCTTTTCAATTTTTTATTTCCGTTTTTTTTTCTTTCTTTTTTTTTTTTTAATTCTTTTTTTGAAGTTTTTTTTTTTTTATTTTCTCTTCCTTTTTCTTGCTTTCTTTCTTTCTTTCTTTCTTTCTTTCTTTCTTTCTTTCTTTTGAATACTTAAACTTTCCTCTTCGCATACGTATACTTTCACGTACATTTAAATTGTACGTACGTTATTTTTATTTTTACTTTTATTTTTACTTTTATTTTTATTTTTATTTTACTTTATTTTATTTTATTTTATTTTTTTCCTTATCTTTACGACCTTACACGGACATAATATCTGATGCATTTTAAAAACATAAATTTTATTTTTTTTTTCTTACTTCTCTCTGTCTCTCTCTCTCTCTTTTTTTTTTTTGTTTTGTTTTATTTTGTTCTTTTGCTTCCATTTTTTTTTTTTTCATCATCATGATCATCATCATCATCACCATCATCGTCATTCATTATAGCCTAACGATGGTTTTTAAAATGGCTAATCCTACGTATCCTTTATTTCATTTGTTTCTTTGTTATTTTATATTTCTTTCCCTCTCTCTCTCTCTCTCTCTCTCTCTCTCTNCTCTCTCTCTCTCTCTCTCTCTCTCTCTCTCTCTCTCTCTTTGTTTCTTGTTGTATGTATAATAATATTTCATATTTTTATAATGATCGCGCGTATAGAGAATATAGAAAAATATGTGTCTGTGTCTGTGTATGTATGATGTGTAAATATGTTTATGTGCAAGATAGAAATATGACAAAAATGAAAGAAATGAAACGTTCATTTGAGAGAGATATATAGATTTTTTTGCAATAAAAAATTTCGTATACTTATGAAAAATCAAACTAAACAAATACATAAAGTGAGTGTTATACGTAAAATTGTACAACAGTTATTGTTTAATTAAATTTTTCATTGAAAATTATTCATATTAATATCAAAACTCACATTTCATAAAATAACAAATGAAAATTGTTTAATATTTCAAGTATATATTATTAAATACATGTGTGTGTGTGTGTGAAACAGTTAAACTCATGAAATATGTAATAAAGGTATATTAAACGTATTTATTTAGAAATTATCCTTCATACTAAATACACTACATATCGATCATTTTTAAGCAAAAAATTTAGCAAAGGTAACAATATACAATTTTTAGTGACACTCACTTTATATATGTATATATATATATATGTGACGATGACATGTGTTGTTTGTGTGTACATTTGTGTGTATGTGTGGTACGGAACAAGGATTTACAATAAGTGTGTCGTTATCATATTTTTGTTCTTTTTCCATCTTCTTTTTTGTTGCTACGAAAATCAAAATAACGATTTATAACAATAATAATAATAATAATATTAATAATAATAATAATGAATAATGAATAAATAAATCAAATCGATCGAACGATATTCCGAAAATTACCAAATCGAAGAAGAAGAATTATTCTGTTCTATTGCTTCTTAATTTTTTGCATTTTTTTTTTCTTTTCTTTTTTCTTTTTTTTTCTTTTCTTACGCATTCTTTTTCGCTTATTAACGCTCATTCATACATTAATATTGAATATTGGCTTTTAAATTACACACCGAGATTAATCGGGAAACAATCTTTGATTCTTCGTTGATATAAAAACATCTTACCTCTCTCTCTCTCTCTCTCTCACTCACAATTTCTCTCTTTCTCTCTTTCTTTCTTTCCTAAATCGTACGCTATACATATAATACAAAAGTGATCGTTTTACGTGCACGTTGCAAATTAATGCTTTTTTTTTTATTTTTATTTTTATTTTAAATTTTTATTTGTAATTGTAATTGTAATTTTAATTTTATTTATTTACTTACTTGATAAAATGTTAAAGAGCGGCGTTTTTCGCTAAAACGAACGAAATCTTGTATTTACCATTATTTAAAATTCTTACTTTTGTATCTCTGTACTTTTACTTTTATTTTTTCTTTCTTTCTTTCTTTCTTTCTTCTTCTTTTCTTTACAATTGCATTTTTATTATTTTTTTTCTCTCTCTCTTTCCTTTTAACGATGCGCCGCCATTTTGAAATACACTGTGTCGTTGAGAAGATAGATATCATTTTACAATGAATAAAATATCGAATGTGTAAAATCTCTCTCTCACACTCTCTCTCTCTCTCTCACTCTCTGTGTTACAACGATGCTGATGTTTATTACTTTTTTTTAATTTATTTTTTTTTTTTAATCTCAACGATATTAGATTTTTTTCGCACACACACACACACACATATATATAAATATATACATATATGTATATATGTATATATATATATATTCTAATTTTTATTATTATTATTATTTTTTTTTTTTTTTTTAAATCGATCACGACCAACGCACGATGTTTCATTTCATTTCTTTTTTTATTTTTTTCACGATGATGCGAAATATTTCTCTCCCTCTCTCTCTCTCTCTCACTCTTTTTCTCTCTCACTCTCTCTCTCTCTTTTCGATTAATTACGAAACATACTCGTTTTTTTCAAGCCTTGTTATTTTTTTTTTTTTTTTCTACATTGAATATTATTTTTGCAAGGAAAATAAAATAAAAAAGAAGAATAGTTTTGAGTGTATTCTCAAAAAGGAATTTAACTTTGATAGATTTGTTGTTGGTTGTGTGTTGTGTGTGTGTGTTTCTTTCTTTTTGTTTTTCTCTTTTTTTTTTATTATTATTATTATTATTATTATTATTCATTTCTTTTGATTGTGACATTTGAATATTCAGTTTTTTGTTTGTATTTTTTTTCTCATGAATTTTGATTGAGCGTTATAGGGCATCTCATCATCATCATCATCATCATCATCATCATCATCATCATCATCATCATCATCATCATTATCATCATCGAGAAGAATAAATAATTACACAATATTTTTTCATAGTAAATAGTAATTTA